ACTTCCTTTATGTACGTGTCCAAGAAGTCAACAAATCGGCTTCTTGCCAAGAATCTGTCCAGGGATACACTTGAACCAAATAACCTTTTACATCTTTGCATCAAAAAGGTTCATCTTGGAAATTTGGCAAAGGAGGGTTTACTAGCACCATAACCTTGGACCAGACAGCCAAGGTCTGACAGACAGACATGATGGCAACAGCAAGTTGCAAAAAAAGAACCAGCCAGAGAAAACATGGCCTTAAGGAGGGCTTCTAACCACTCATATACAGGGTTCTTGAAAACTGGGACATTCTCAGCAAGGCCTGGCTGTTGACTGTTCAGGCTGCTCTGGGGCAGGAGAGGAGTATACTTGGTAAATGAGGACAGAAATCATATCCTTCAGCTTGGAAGAGAACAACAGATTGTGTGACTTCCTGATTGGAGTACGGAGAGTCATGAGGAGCCCTTCTCCTCAGGGAGCTTAAAAGCCATAAGAATAGCATCTGAGATGCAATCTGCAGTAGAGGCAGCCCGCTTGTGTGCCTCATTATCTGAGATTTCTAACAGGTTAGACAGCCTTTCCATAAAATCAGACAGTGGTTGAGAGTTCCTCCCTGGAGTGCCAGAAGACGCTAGGGAGGTCTCAGAGGAGGTCAGAAAATGGGGGAAGTGGTTAGGGTGTCAAAATCAGTGCCCCCCCCAATTTGCAAAATGGCTTGTAACTTCCACCGCAGGCCGCAGCCAAAGGAAGTTGCAGCCCCAGTGCCCCAAATTAAGCCCTAAGAGAATGGGGCAGCAGCAGCCTGGATATCCTAGAAAGGTTCATTGCTCTGCTTTTCAGCAGTCTCCTGCGGTACCAGCAGCCAATAGGAGATATTGATCCTTCCCCCTCCCAATAGGTGTAATCCCAACAAGGGAGTCTTCAGTGACAGGATCATACCAGACGGTACTGTAATGACCCTGGACCTGTATAGCAACTTGGCACTACGTGCATCGGAGCAGGATTATAGGCTGGCCTCATCTTACCTCGACCAATCCAAACAGCTGCTAAAATGGAAGTTGCCATGGCAATCAGCAACTACAGATCTCATCGAACAACCATTTTTGATAACGTTAGCAAAGGAATGATGTTAGCAAAGTTAGACCACGAGACTGCAGAGAGTTACTCACAAAGAAACATGCACTTTTGCTGGTTTATGATTTGACCACCATATCACTCTGGTGAGTTCATTCAATTCATTCGGTGGTGGAAGAGCACTGGTTTGGGGATGTTAAGAGACAATTCAGAAGTTTACTTTGCACTGGTTGACTGTTTCATATATTTTATGGACACAATAGTTAATAAGGAATTATATTTGAGCTATATGATATCTTCATTCAAATACGTTTGCATATGGTTATTTGTACATTGATTTTTTTTGCACCTTATTTGAGCCTTATTGTAAATGTATTGCCTTTTTCCAGCATATCGCACATTTATTTTTATATGGGGATGTTACATACATTTTGCACATTGTTTTCATGCACTTGATAAGGATGTAAGTGGGGGTATTCGATGATTCCCTGCACTTTATATGAGTACTAGCGAATGTTGATCATTTAGTGCACTTTTCTGAGCACATTGCACCTTATTATATTGGGGTGTTTATATATAATTTGCATATTTATTTTATGCATGCTATAAAAGGATATTATCAGAAAGTATTGAATGCAAAATAGAGGTTGTGGTTTTGCACACTGCATTTTTATATGAGCAACATATATTGTAGAGAATATTGTGGTTTTGTGGCTTTAGTGCCGGTAGCACTGTTCTATATTTTAGTCTTGATTGTCAATGGTTACATCATTTAGAATAGCAGCTGCCGGGAGTGATTAGACCAGATTTTTCAGTTTTTGTGTGTGTGGCACAGTCCGTAATAATATATTTACAGTGTACAGTAACTGCATAACCTAATTAACAAAGATCCTGTGTCCTATAATGTCCAAGTTTTTTTTTTTTCTTAAAAATAACAAGACATGTTATACTTACCTGCTCTGTGCCATGGTTTTGCACAGAGCAGCCCAGATCCTCCTCTTCTCGGGTCCCCGCCAGCACTTCTGGCCCCACCCTCAGCTTGCTATGGGGGCACCCAAGCAGGCGCGCTCCCGAGCCGCAGCTCTGCGTGTCCATTCACACACACAGCCACAGCTCGGCCCCACCCTCTCGCGGCTCACTGGCTGTGACTGACCAGCCATGCATTGAGCCCAAGCCCAGAGATGGAGGCCAAGTTTGCTCGGCCCTTTGCCAGTCTTAATTATCAGAAAGCCTAAATTTGCATAGGAATTGTGAAGTACTTCTGCAGCTGCTCCTTACAAGGTAAAGATAAGAGCAGACCTCTTGCGTACTTTAACGCTTATATAGATTCCCCCACTCCCCCATCTACAGGTTTACCTGCAAATGTGGGGATTATTTAACGTGTGCAATACAAATGCATTGCTTGATTACTTTGGACCTATAATTCTTTTTTTGCAATGGGATCTATCAGACCTATCTTATCTCTGTAAAGAGTAGTTGTCACCTACCTATTGCTATCACATGGGGGTTTCTTAACCCATTGTGCTAGCAATAAAGTTCAATTTAAAAAAAAAAAAAAAATCATAAAAAAAGGTTTAAAAAAAAATTATAAATGTATCCCCTATTGCCCTGCACACACCCACAAATGCAAACGTGGCCCAGGGTGCACACGCGTAAGTAAATGGTGACTGTACCACACATGTGAGTTATCACCACAATCGTCAGAGTAATAGCAACAATTCTAGCGCCATATCTCGCATTTAACTCTAAACTGATGAGTCGAAAAGGCTTTTAAAAGCATCATCTATGGAGATTTTTGGGTACCATTGTTTTTCATATCACATATGCAAACAAACTATTTTAAGACTTGGCGTGTTTAGTATCTATTTACGCAATACAAACTCATCTTTTATATTTGACCAAACATTGGGTTATTATACTGTGTTCGTGTGCAGTACAAATAATGTTATTATATGTTCCCCTGAAATTATGTGTTAGTTAAACAATTGTGCAAATATCATGCAACATAAAAAAAACTGCTATCTTTTCATTCTATAGGGCCTCTGCTTTCAGAAGATATACTATATAATGTATTGGGGACTTTATGTAATTTAATGGCCAAAAATGCAGATATGTACGTGTGTAGAAAAATTAAAAAATTTCTCTGAAGGAAGTAATATTCAAAACATAACTGAAAGTGACTGGCAAATTCCAATTTAGAAAAAAATAAATAAAAAAAAAAACCTCTCACCTTATCACTAGAAGATGACGATGTTGACGATGACCTTGACGACTGTGACATGCGATTCTGCCTTTCTGGTGAGGTTGATTTAGAATGGGAGCTATGTCTGGAGGGGGAGGATCTATCTGATGAAGAATGTGAAGAATGAGAAGAGGATGAGGAAGATGATGATGAAGTGGAGGAAGAAGAGGAAGAAGTTGATGAGGAGGAAGATGAAGAGGATCTTCTTCGACGAGATTCTAGCAAGGGAACAGTTTCACTTTCCTCAGCAGCTTCAGACAACTCCACTTTTTTTACACAGTCTTGCTCCTCTTCAACAGGCTGCAATTTATCTGTGGTGGAATGTTCTGGAGACAGAGTGACTGGAAGGAATTCATCTTCCTTGATAACCGTCTCATGCTCTATATGCAATTCAACTCTCTCTGTTGTCTCCAGGATATCATGATTTTTTGCTACCACTACTATTAGGAGATAATATCTGTTCCTTATAAACTGTTGTAATATCTGCATGTAGTTCTGTCTGATGTTGCTCTATTGTATGCAAATCTTTTCTTGTAGAGAACTCTGAACATGCAAAATTTGTTTTTTCCCTTTCAGGTTCTGAAGAGTCAACAGCCTCCATAAAAGACTGTTTAGATGCATCCTGGGTGGGTAAAGGGTCTGACGTAGTATGAAATGGAACTTCCTCTGGTTCATCCACAAGGTTTTTTTTTGATTCTGCTGAAAAACTCTGTTCTAATTTTTCAGCCATAATTGTTTCTTCACCTTCAGAAAGTTCCTGGGCAGCACTTTGGACATTCCCCTCAGTCATTTCCACATCGATAGACAGAACATTCCCTTCAGTCATCTCCATCTGGGTAGACAGAACATTCCCTTCAGTCATCTCCACCTGGGTAGACAGAACGTTCCCTTCAGTCATCTCCACCTCGGTAGACAGAACGTTCCCTTCAGTCTTCCCCACCTCGATAGATAGAACGTTCCCTTCAGTCTTCCCCACCTCGATAGACAGAACGTTCCCTTCAGTCTTCCCCACCTCGGTAGACAGAACGTTCCCTTCAGTTTTCCCCACCTCGGTAGACAGAACGTTCCCTTCAGTCTTCCCCACCTCGGTAGACAGAACGTTCCCTTCAGTCTTCTCCACCTCGGTAGACAGAACGTTCCCTTCAGTCTTCTCCACCTCGGTAGACAGAACGTTCCCTTCAGTCTTCTCCACCTCGGTAGACAGAACGTTCCCTTCAGTCTTCTCCACCTCGGTAGACAGAACGTTCCCTTCAGTCTTCTCCACCTCGGTAGACAGAACGTTCCCTTCAGTCTTCTCCACATCGGTAGACAGAACGTTCCCTTCAGTCTTCTCCACATCGGTAGACAGAACGTTCCCTTCAGTCTTCTCCACATCGGTAGACAGAACGTTCCCTTCAGTCTTCTCCACATCGGTAGACAGAACGTTCCCTTCAGTCTTCTCCACATCGGTAGACAGAACGTTTCCTTCAGTCTTCTCCACATCGGTAGACAGAACATTTCCTTCAGTCTTCTCCACATCGGTAGACAGAACATTTCCTTCAGTCTTCTCCACATCGGTAGACAGAACGTTCCCTTCAGTCTTCTCCACATCGGTAGACAGAACATTCTGTTCAGTCTTTTCCAGATCGGTAGACAGAACATTCTGTTCAGTCTTTTCCACATCGGTAGACAGAACATTTTGTTCAGTCTTCTCCACATGGGTAGACAGAACATTTCCTTCAGTCTCCTCTACATCGATAGACAGGACATTTCCTTCAGTCTTCTCCACATCGGTAGACAGATCATTTCCTTCAGTCTTCTCCACATCAGTAGACAGAACATTCCCTTCAGTCTTCTCCACATCTTTAGACAGAACATTTTCTTCAGTCTTCTCCACACTGGTAGACAGAACATTCCCTTCAATCTTCTCCACATCTTTAGACAGAACATTTTCTTCAGTCTTGTCCACATCGGTAGACAGAACATTCCCCTCCATCACCTCCATCCTTGGGTAGACAGAACATTCCCCTCAGTCACCTCCACATGGGTAGACAGCACATTCCCCTCAGTCACCTCCACATGGGTAGACAGCACATTCCCCTCAGTCACCTCCACATGGGTAGACAGCACATTCCCCTCAGTCATCTCCACATCAGAAGATGGAACATTTGCCTCAGTCATTTTCACATCCTTAGGCAAATGTACATCTGACATCTTCACATTAGAATTCTGACTGCCTGTGGAAATCTCTGGTGGCATTATTTCAGACTCTTGTACAGCAGGAAACTCTTTATCACCTTTTGGCTCAATGATTTCATGGTCCACCAAATCACTGTCTTTTGTTACAATATCCTCGGTGCGCAACGCCTCTGTCATATCTGGTATAGCTGTAAGAAAATCCTGAGTAGGTTGTGTTATGATTTCATCATCAGAGATGGCTTTTTCTGGTGTCTCAAATGGAGCTTGATTTTTGACCATGGCTTCATGAGTTATTTGAACACCTGCAACATCATCCACTTGTGTGTCTAATTCAGATGTAATAGAATATTCAGTTTTGCTTGATGGAAATGTTGATTGTTCAAAAACAACTGGCTTTGTGACTATGTCTTGATGTGATGTTATTTGTGGAGCATCTTTCGGTGTCAAAATGTCAGACATTTTTTGTAAATCTGGGTCACATGTCATAGTTTCATGGACAGCCAGAGATTCTGCATTACCATCCGATGTGATTGCAGAAGCCCTCTCTGTTATTTCGGAATCTTCAAACGTTTCTGTCACACTCGCAGACGATTCATGAGTCCCTGTTGTAGCTTCAGATTCTAATACACTTATTTCAGCAAATGGCTTTAATGGAATCTCCCCTAGAACCATTTCAGAAGCAACTTCATTTGGTTGCTCCAATTTCACAGATTCCTTTAATTGCACAGTATTTTCAAACATATTCAAATCTTCTTCAGCAGCTGGTTTGACTTCTGTTTGTTTGATTTCTGAAATTTCATTCATATGCATAGGTTCTTCTTTTTCAGAGCTCAGATTTCCTAAAAAGGGTTGTTGTACTTCCACTGAGCCAGAATGTGAGACTTCTTTACCCAGAGAATGGTCAGTGCTGATGGTGATCCCTCCTATTACGTCAGGACCAGACACATGAGAAACACCCAAATTTGATTTCTCAGTAAGCTCTTCTGTTACAGTTAATAAACTTTCTTTATCCTGCACACTTGGCAAATCAGTTGCTACTTCCTTTGTCTGGTTTAGCCCACATGACTGCAGCTCTGGCTTGTCTAACTTAGTCCATGCAGGTAGAGGTGTTTGCGCCACATCAAGTGACACATTAAGCACCTCTGTTTCATGTTTTTCTTGAATGTCAGGGTGATTTACCGTTTTTAAAATATTAGTTTCTGGCTGTTTCCGATTTGAAGAGGATGACCGGACTCGAAGTTTTCTTGTTTTAGGTAAGCTGGAAACAGAAACTGAGGAAACTACTGTTTTGTCAGATTCAAAAGCATCACTGCACACTGCTGAATTTGCATCCAATTTGTCCTTGTCTACCTTCTCTAAAATAGACATGGTCTTAACATTTGATCTCCCCACTTCAGGACAGCTTGACAATGTAATGGTACGCTCTTTATTTTCCTTTGATTCTGGTTCTTGCTTCTCTAAAATGGACATAGCTTGTACCCCCCTCGATGAGGACTTCTCCACTATATGCAAGCTCTGTTCACGCACATATGCTTTACCTCCAGATTTTGAACGAACCGGAGGCTTTATAAGAACCAGTGATGATTTCACTTTGACATCTTTTGTTGTGGCACCTCTTGTCATGGATCCCCTCACAGTCTCCTGAGTCATATGTGAATCCTGTATTTTCGGTTTAACTTTTTCAGCTTCTTGACACCAATTAGGAGTCTGCTGGATTGTACAAGTAGCAGCTGAAGGCTGTGGTGCTGGAGGATTTGAATTGCTCTCATTACGCTCTCTCACATAACGCCCCCCCTTTTGAGGAGATCTATGACTCTTTAAGCTCTCCTTGTGAAGAAATTTTGGGGAAACTGCTTTTTCAGTTGTTGTGGTCATCTGCTTTACAGAGACCCGATGTTGGAACCCTTCCAGAGAAAGCAGTGGTGGAACACGTTCCTCTGTTATTTCTTCAGAGTCAGCAAAAGTTGATTTGGAAACAGTTTCTGATAATTCAGGAGGAGAAGGTGAACGCTTGGCTTTTGGAGACTTTTTCTGCTGAATAGTAGTGGATCTCGAGGATCGTCTTCTTTTAGGAGTTTCTTCTTCATCTTTCTCAATGGGTAGCTCCTTTTCTTCCATTGTTTCCTCCTCTTCCTCACCCACATCTTCTGCTTCTTCCTTGGCAAGGTCTCCCTTAGACCGTCGCACACGGGTAGATGACCTGCGTGGCTCTTGCTCCTGAGTTGGCGGTGTTTAAAACAGGAGGTCTTGAAGGTTTAGCCTGCAAATTAAGGTAAATTATTAAAAGTCTGCACCGGTCTTAAGCCATTTACACTTTTATGATCAGTATGGGTGTATATCTGACCTGTTTTACTCGAGATGACCTCCTCTCCCTCTTTTTGGGAATCTCTTCCTCAGAATCATCTTGGTCTTCCAAGACAGAAAGACTTTTTTCTTTAATGATATATTGATAAAGAGAAAAAGGAAAAATTAAAATGGCACCTAATCCTGGTTTTATCTTACCATTACTGCATGCAAAGGAAATGTAACTGCCAGTTTACATTAGTATTTGGACATCGAGACATGCACAGATTTAAAATTAACAGTTTCTGTTTGCTCATTTTAGATAATGGATTAAACAGAAAGTCTGTTGTTGCATGTCTACAACATTTCTTAAAGTAGATGTTCAGGCGAAACTCAATCCAAGGAATGTAATTACCGTATATTTTTGCTCCATAAGACTTATTTTTTCCCCCAAAAAGGGGGGGGGGGGGGGGAAATGTCAGTGTGTCTTATGGAGCGAATATGGAGTGGCTGGTCCTGTATTTCCGTCGCTGACACAGTGTCAGAATACCGGGCCAGCCACTCAGCTCTTCTCTGCAGCAGGACCTTACCTGTTCCTCGGTCCAGCGGTGTACAGTCTTCCCGCGCTGGCATCTTTAGTGTGGGCACCCGGGTGTGTGACAGAGGTTAATGTCCCACATCTGTAATGGAAAGGTAATGGAACTTTATAAAGATGGAAAAAAGACATAAAAAGATGTCCAAAGCCTTGAATATGCCTAATCAGTACTGATAAATCACCTATTACGAAGTGGAAAGTTCAGGAATCTCTTGATCAAGCCAAGGTCAGGTAGACAAAGAAAGATTGCAGTCATAACTGACAGAAGAATTGTCCGCGATTCAAAGAAAAACCCATAGGCAACCTCAAAAGAAATACAGGCTGCTCTGTAAAAAAGATGGTGTAGTTGTTTTTAAGGAGTACAATACGATGATACTTGAACAAAAATGAGCTGTTTGGTTGAGGTGCCAGAAAGAAGCTTTTGCTGCACCACTGCCACAAAAAAGCCCAGTTACAATATGCCTGACAACACCTTGACATACCTAACCAGGCCTTTTTGTGTCATTGATGCAGTAAAGACTTCTTTCTGACACCTCGACCAAGCAGCTCATTTTCGTTCAAGTGTCATCATATTGTGCTCCTTCAAAACAACCACACTGTCTTTTTCCAGAGCAGCCTGTATTTCTCTTGTGGTTACCTATGGGTTTCCCTTTGTATCCCGAACAATTCTTCTGGCAGCTGTGGCTCCAATCTTTCTTGGTCTACCTGTACTTGGCTTGGTAACAAGAGGTCCCTGAATTTTCTACTTCTTAGTGGAAGTGATGACTGGCATATTCAAGGCTTTGGACATCTTTTGATATCCTTTTCCATCTGTATAAAGTTCCATTACCTTGTTACGCAGGACTTTTGACAGTTCTTTTCTGATCCCCATGGCTCAGTATCTAGCCTAGTCAGTGCTTCCACGTAAGAGCTAACAAACTCATTGACTATTTATACATTGACACTAATTGCAATTTAAAAAGCCAGAGATGTGGGACATTAACCTCTAATTGCCATTTTAACCCGTGTGTGTCACCTTGTGTGTCTGTACCAAGGCCAAATATTCCAGGGTATGTAAACTTTTGATCATGGCAATTTGGGTGATTTCTGTTATCATTATGATTTAAAAAGGAGCCAAACAACTATTTGATAATAAATGGCTTCATATGATCATCATCCTTCAATAAAAGAGCATTTTTTTGCCATGATCAGTCATATTTTCAATATCAATGCCAAAATTTCACAATTTCTGCCACGGTATGCAAATAATTGAGCACAACTGTATTCTACTTTAATATTATAGTTGCAAACATCTTCAATATGCACACAAGTTTGCTGCAAGAATTCTGTCTCTTTAGTTACCTCTCTTCCTCACCTTGTTGGCTGGACAGAAAAGCAGCACACTGATAAGGTAACCCATGCACTCTATTCTCCTGTAAGCATGTTTACAATTTTAGGCTAACACCACTGTACAAAAGTTCTAAATTCTTCAGCACACTTTCCATTGTGTGGAGGCTGTTTAACAAGATATCTGGAGGGAGCCAAAATACATACAGATTCATATATTTATACAAGCTGCATTTAAATATATTTACAATGAAAGCATAACTGGAAATTTTGCCTGAGTTTCAGCTTTATTTTTTCTTTAAATTAAAATTTGACACAGCAAATGCTTTACCTGAATCAAATTCTGACCTGATAATGTAATGTATCAGATAAATCCTGTTTCAAAGTACTGATATGGAATTCCATTATATATTTTAAGCTTGAAGAACAAATACCATTTTATGATAGTTTTTGCATGCAATGTTTTCTTACATAAAGAGACACCAGCTGAAGGTGTGCCAAACTCCGTGGACTGTCAATTTACAAAGTAAGCTGAAAAAGGGCACACATGAAACCAAGACCATCTACATGAAATCTTTAAAGTGTAGACCAGAAAATAATAACCAAGCTGTGATTAGCTGCTATTTCTAGAACTGTTAACAGTCGATTGTAAAAGAACAAATAAATTGATAAATAAACTACAAGTGTGCAAATCCATTATATACTGTATATATTGGGGGGGGGGGGGGTGGCGTCAAGCTCTCAATTGAGCTTGATCTGCTGAACAGGGGCAGGACACTATGCGGTGATTGCCACCTCCTTCCCCTGGGGATTTTTAACTTTCTCCATGTTTTCCAGGTAGACCTCAACCTCTGAAAAGTTGCCTACCCCTACTGTATATCATGTAAATAATATATAAAAATACATACTCGGAGTGCGTTTTCCCAGCTCAACATCTGGCCTCTTCAAAACAGAACAGATAATATCATCAGGAGGCTCCGGCACAATGTCAGGATTTGTATTTTCTTCCTCAGACTCCGCTAAAGGATCTGTGAACCAAAGAGAGCTTGTATATAGTAGTAAATAAAATTGTGAACAGCCCCTAATGTAAATCAAACACACAACTGCGTAGTAACAATACAAGTTAGTTAGTAAGGGGGGAAAAAAAAAAAAAAAAAAGGATTTTTGACTTACAAGTAAATTCCATATTTTAAAGTACAGTACAAAACACAGTATTCACACAACATGGGTTACAGGGGTGTACCTTAATGTGATTGGACACTGGCAAAATTTCAGAAGGACACACCCACTGGGTGCCTTGCCTATAGCCCTAACCCACACCATAAATCCTCAGTTTTGTAATAAGCAACGGAGAGTAAACCAAAGAAGAAGAGACGGTGACCTGTATCCTGTGCTGTACTCCAAGATATGGAATTTAGAGGCAAGTCAAAATGTCTTTGATCCTAATCATACAGTAAAAGTATCCATAAATTAGGGAACAGTTTCAAGCAATGAATATAATCTGGTAAAGGACACAGAGTATTCACAAGCCATGGGACATCCTCAATCAATGAATAAAAAGGATTATTAACAGTGAAGCAAACAAATGAACAGATGACCAGGTGGCGGCCTTACACAACTGGGCTACAGAGGCTGGATGCTGAAATACCCAGCAAACTCCCACCAATCTGGAGAAATGGGCATGTTAAAAATGCAGAAGGAGGTTTTGTACTGAGAATAAAAGCTCCTGCAATCAGATTATGAATCCATCATGCAGTGGTGGACTTTGAAGCAGGGTGTCCCTTGCAAAGTCCCAAGGACAGGACAAACAGGGAATCCATTTGTCTGATTGGAGCAGTAGCCATGAGGTATACTCTTAATGGCTCTGACTACATCCAAGCAATGTACAAGGATTTCCTTTGGATTCTTAGGAACAAGGCATAAGGACCGGAGGGAGAATACTGAAACCTTCAGTAGAAAGGATGGCCTTGGGCATAAGACAGCCTTGCCATTGTAAGTATGAGGAACGGCTCTTTATAAGAAAGGGTCACCAGTTCAGAAACATGTCTGAAAGTCATGATGGTGACCAAAAAGCAACTTTGCAGGAGAGATCTTCTATGGGAATAGCCCTGATAGGTTCAAATGGTGGTTTCCTGCAGGGCAGAGAGAACCAAGTTGAAATCACAAGGAGCTGTAAGCATGGCTTACTATGAGATACACCGTAAAGAGAGGCAGAAGCCTTTGAGAATGGATGAGGTCGAGACCTGACCTTTGAAAGTGCTTAAAGCGGAGTTCCGGTGAAAATGTAAAAAAAAAAAAAGTCAGCAGCTACAAAAAATCTTATTTCAAGACAAAGTTGGAATATTTTAAATAACAATGTATACAGAGATAGGTTCCATCAACATGTGTGATGCCTTCAGCTCAGAAGACTGGTAAAAGTGGAAACTTTTAGATGTACACTGATCAAAAAAATTAAAGGAACACTTTTTAATCAGAGTATAGCATCAAATCAATTACAAAACTCCTGGGATATTGATCTGGTCAGTTAAGTAGCAGAGGGGGTTGTTAATCAGTTTCAGCTGCTTTGGTGTTAATGAAGTTAACAACAGGTGCACTAATGTGCAACAATAGACAACCCCCAAAACAGGAGGCCACTAACATTTTTCCCCTACTCCTCTTTTGACCGCTTTTCACTAGTTTTGCATTTGGCTAGGGTCAGTGTCACTACTGGTAGCATGAGGTGATACCCAGACCCTACAGAGGTTGCACAGGCAGTCCAACTCCTCCAGGATAGCACATCAATAAGTGTCATTGCCAGAAGGCTCTCAAGAGCATGGAGAAGATTCCAGGAGACAGGCAGTAACTCTAGAAGAGCTGGACATGGCCATAAAAGGTACTTAAACCCATCAGCAGGACCAGTATCTGCTCCTTTGTGCAGGAAGGAATAGGATGAGCACTGCCAGAGCCCTACAAAATGACCACCAGCAGGCCACTGGTGTAAATGTCTCTGAACAATCAGAAACAGACTTCATGAGGGTGACCCAAGATCCTGACGTCCTCTAGTGGGCCCTGTGCTCACTGCCCGGCACCATAGAGATCAAATTTGCCATTGAACACCAAAATTGGCAAGTCCTCCACTGGTGTCCTGTGCTTTTCACAGATGAGATGTGCTCAATGTGACAGATGTGAAAGGGGCTGGAGAAGCCGTGGAGAATGTTATGCTGCCTGTAACATCGTTCAGCAGGACTGTTTTTGGTGGTGGGTCAGTGATGGTCTGGGGAGGCATATCCATGGAGGGACGCACAGACCTCTACAGGATAGACAATGGCACCCTGACTGTCATTAGGTATGGGGATGAATTCCTTAGACCCATTGTCAGACCCTATGCTGGTGCAGTGGGTCCTGGGTTTTTCCTGGTGCATGACAATGCCCGGCCTCATGTGGCATGAGTATGTAGTCCTCCTGGAGGATAAAGGAATTGATACCATTGAATGGCCCCCACACTTGCCTGACCTAAGTGTTCTTTTAATTTTTTTTGAGCAGTGTATTTTTTTTTTTTATACGGTTTACAAAGCCTATATGTTCATCTCTACTAACCTGAATAGGTACAATACGAATCACACAAGTAAAAATTTTGTTCTGATATACTGGAGCCAGACAAAAACAGAAAAACAATGTCCTGGTGGAGGTGGAAAGCTGAAACCACCTTAGGAAGGAGGCTCTAGGCTTCAATACTTGTCTTTGTGAAGTATCAAAGAAGGCTCCCTTAAAAAGGAGTGTTACTCAATTAAGATGCTGCGGCACTTTCAGGTGTTCTCTGGGTTCCCCCAAGTTGCCACAAGCATGGGATCCAGTTTGTCCTGGATCAACATTATGGATTTCCATGGTGCAGGCATGGCATCATTCATCGCTATGAAGATGCCAGCTGGCTCGCCCACACCTTGGCAACACATGACTCTGATCCAGGGCATGCCCTCAGCATTCAGGAGATGAAGTCCATCTCTTCCAGATATCCGCTCCCTCCCTCTCTCTGGCACTCTGCTGGGGGGCCTCACATATAGGAGGTGACTGATACGATGGGAGCTTGGACATGAAAAGGGGACTCAGATGTAACGTGAGGCTGCTAGGCTTCTGATGTAAAGATAATTTCATCAAGGCTGTTGTGTGCATCATCCCATGCTCTGGAATCCCACTAAGTAACATTTAAAGTTTTTTTAATCTTAGACTGGGGTGCCTCAAAATGTTGCATGCTTTTAAAGCGTGCCACAACTGGAGAAGAAAAAAAAAAAAAAAAAAAAAAAAAAAGAGGAGGAGAGAAACCCTGCTTTAGGCTTTGATCAGATGGGCATCGACACCTGTTTTGTGTGCAGGTTGCTTTTGCTGTTGCATGTATTTCTGCTCCAAATTGTGTGCAGGCAGACTACAGAGGTGGATGCACATGAGCAGCTGCACAGACCGTATGCATTTGGGTCCATGTACCTGCTTTGGCACACATGTAAAATTTTTACATCTGGCTGTGTCCAAGCAGCCGCTGCATCTATATCCACCTCTGTAGGCTGCCTGCATGCAGCTTGGGGCAGATGTAGCACAATTACAAAGGCAGCCTGCATGCAAGATGGGTGTCAGCACCTGTTTGAATGAACCCTTTAGATGACAAGGCTTCCAACTCCGATAAACAGCCTCACAGAGGTTGATGGCAACAAGGAAATTAGCTTTGTAAAAGTGGAAAGGGAAATATCCCTAATCAGTTACAGAGGGTCTTTAAGAGCCAACAGAATAAAATTTATATCCCACAGAGTTTCAGGAGGGATCACATGAGACCCACTGTACAAACGTATCAGCCTATGAATGGAATGCCACCTTTCTGGAGGCAGATTTCCTAGCTTTTAACAGCATGGGAATTGTTAAATCAGAGAAATGCCGGTTTCTTAAGACTGGACTTCAACAGCCACGCCATTAAAGCCAGCAATATTAAAACAGGATGAAAAACTCGTTCTTAAGAGAGAAGTTTGAAAAGGTTAGAATACCACATCCATCTGGGCCAGTCCAGAAATAGAGGATCACTAGAATGTCCTCAATTTGATCTTGATGAGCAGAAGAGGAACAGTTTTAGAGGGTGAAAGATCCTGCATTTAAAGACAAACCTGTCCAGTTTATGGTTGTTGAATTCTGAGGAAAAGGGATCACATCTGGTATCCCCCCACCTAAAATCAAAAAGGTTCCAAAACACTTCTGGGTTTAGGGACCATTTCTCATGTTCAGATACTGCTGCCTGAATGTAGTCTGTCAACTGTCCACACCTGGAATGTTAACGGCAGACAAGGCACCTAGGTAGACTTCTGGTTCTTCCATGGTAGGTGATGTATTCCACAGCAGAGGCATTGTCTGACTACAGTATGTGCACAATTATTAGGCAAGCGAGTATATTGACCAAATCATCATTTGTATGCATATTGTCCAACTCCAAGCTGTATAAACTTGAATGCTTATTGGATTTAAGCATATCAGGTGATGTGTATTTGTGTAATGAGGGAGGGTGTGGCCTAAGGAAATCAATACCCTATATCAAGGTGTGCATACTTATTAGGCAGCTTCCTTTCCTCTGACAAAATGGGCCAAAAAAAAAAAAAAGATTTAACAACTCTAAAAAAAGCAAAAATTGTAAAAAGTCTTTCAGAGGGATGCAGAACTCTTGAAATTGCTAAGATATTGGGGCGTGATTAAAGAACAAAACGTTTTATTGCAAATAGTCATCAAGGGCACAAGCAAAGTGTTGATAAATAAAAGATGCAAATGAACTGCCAAAGATTTTAGAAGAATGAAATGTGAAGCTACCAGGAACCCATTATCCTCCAGTGCTGTCATATTTCAGTACTGCAATCTACCTGGAGTGCCCAGAAGTACAAGGTGTTCAGTGCCCAGAAACATGGCCATGGTAAGGAAGGCTAAAACCCGACCACCACTGAACAAGACAAGTTGAAACATCAAACATCTATAGACAGAGTTTTCAAAGGTCTTATGGACTGACTAGACGAGAGTGACTCCTGAC